AAAAAACTAATTACACAAAAAGAACCAACTGAACAGAAAATCCAGGTCGATGTGGTGAAGCTCAAGTACTGACCACACTGAAGTAAAACCCAAGATTCAAAGATCCTGAGAAATGAGGAAGATTACAGCCCAGAAGCTTGGATGTTATCTTGTTTCTGTCAGATTTAACTGAGTTGGAATATACTTGGTCCTACCTTTCAAGGAACTGTTCACCTGGATTCAGATTTCACACGCTGGGCAAAAGAAACAAACCAAAAAAAGCTTATTTGTTATGCCTTTGGTGCCATTTCTTATCTGTGACTCTGAAATATTTGATCAGTAGTCACCCTTGAGTGCTTTTTGAATTTATGTAAAACTTGTATCCTTCACACAGCTGAGCTGATGTTCCCCAAAGGGGAAATTTGAATTATGTTTTTTTCCCCACCTGGTACAGCATTACCCATCTGCCTCAAACAGAATTCTTTTTTTTTTTTAAAAAAAAGAAGCCTTTGTATGAGCTGCATTCACAGCTCAGCTGACACTCAACTCTGCAGGATGTAACTTGTACTTTCCAGTTGTCATACAGCTAAGGAACTTTTTTTTTTCTAGCTGTGCTCCTGAGGTCCAGTAGGACAAAAGAAGAGACAGGTATGAATGAATTTCCACCAGTCCTCAAGTAACCATTTTTCTAATATCCAAGCTATTAAAGCCTTTTGTAGCAGCCATATTTTCATTCCATTGAAGAAATCTAGCTTACAAACACAGAGTTAGCTGATGAGGACTTGGATTCCATGTGAGGGAGTTGTTGGGGTGTATTAAGCAACAAAGTCACAACAAACACTAATTTTGCTGCTCCAGTGTGTAATTGCCTTCACAGCCATCCACCACAGCATCTGTGTTGTATAGGTGCCAGTTGAAGTACTGGATGTGCAGTCAGCGTGCTCCACTTTGATCTGTGCAAAAATATCAGTGAGACTTTGTCACCTCCAGCATCATACTGAGTCACTGCAATAACACATGCTTCTGGTGTTTCAGTATCAGCTTTCACCAAAGTCAAAGAGAATTGTTTAATTGATTTCAGGGATCAAACAGAAAAAAAGAAAAGGAGGGGGCAAGGGAACGCGACTGTCTGTGGGGTTTTTTCCATCTCACTGATGTGTGACATTTCCATCTTCAGTTTTGAGTAAATTTCCCTTAATTAGCCCATTAAGCTAAAACCACCAAAGCTAATGATTGAAATGTTGGTTAACTGATGATCTTGTTTCAATGGAATTTCAAAGACATCATATTTCTAAATTAATAGTGGCATTAAATTAGAGAAGAGAAAAAGATGAACTATTTGTTGCAGAAATGCTAGTCTCAAGAGAGGATTTGTACTGAAACTGCATTCATGTTAGAAGAAAAGTCAGATTAATAGACAATCAGAGCAGCACTGATGATGGTCCTAACAGTGTTTGACGTTCACTTGATTTTTCTATTTTGGAGACATTTCTGTCAATTTTTTTCATCCCTGGTGAATTTACAGGAAACTTCAGAAGTGTTCTGGTCCTAGTGCTACTGCAGGTGAAATAAGTTAGGCTGTCCCTTAACTTGAATGAACTGTAAATAAAAGTAAAACACAACCTATTGCATTCTCATAAGGGCACATTAGATGGCACTCCCTTCAGTGACAGAAGTACTGGTTTGCATCACGGGGACTGAACATTTGATAACTCTCATAAGAGCAACACTTCATTGTCTGAAGAGGCATGAAGCTTAGGTTCTGCCAAGGAAATTGCCTGCAGTTATTTTCAAAAGTATTTAGTTGCCAGGTACAAAGAAGGTGCGTAGTTGTCTTTGCAGAAGTATCTGTCTCTCTTATGCAACCTGAGCTAAAGTCTCAGGGAAAAGAAGACATGGAGGACCATGTCCAAGAACTGCTTATTTGTCTTTGTAATTCATTTCCCAGCCTCTGTTTTGCACTTTACAAACATAAGTACAAATCAAAACATCCACATCTCCAAGTGGCATTTAGTGTGCACCCCCAGGAAACAGGCCAAAGATCGAATGTGTCAGAGACTCAGCTCCCATGGTCCCTTCAGTGTAACACCAAGGTTCATTGTGTGCAAGGCACTGATTTTCAGACACAGCCAACTGAAAGATATGTAGCTGAATCCATTTCCACCTTACCTCTTCCTGGAGGTTTGAGCAGCACACAACACGGAGGGGGAAGCTTCTGCTGAGCTACAGCCTGTAGTTCACAGCCCAAGGTAGGTCCTGGTTCTCCATAACATACCAGACTGTGACCTGTGGTGGTTCAGGACCTGTTTCACATGTGGTTCAGTTATTTCTGCTGCTTGCACAGTAACTTACAGGCCCAGTAAGATCACTGTAGAACAGAGCTCACTTTATCTGTCCGACAGCTTTTGTTTAAGACTCACATGGCATGTCTGGAACTGAACAGTTTATGTTTATACTAGAGCTCATAATTTCATTTGAAGTGTTGTGGGATGTTACAGCTCTGGAGAAAACAGGGGGAGGAGGCAGAAGGAGGACAGACGATATACTTGGAAGCCAGTTTAACATCCAGGGATTCTATGTTCATTACAGTTCTCCTAGACATACCCACAGTGGGTATCAGGTACACTAACTAAGAAATCTGAGGCTTGTAGCAATGTCAGACTGCAGCTGCATTTTGTATGGATTGGGAAGGCAAAAAATACACTTTTGTGATCTTCAGATTTGTTTGGCTGGAGCTGCTGCCTTTTGAGCTGATAAAGACAGATCATTTAGCAAGGAAAATTATGTCTTGCTATTTGGAGTTTCCTTTGTTGCTAGGGATGCTATTCCTTCACCATATCCACTGTTCTTTCTGTCAATCACCTGCTCTTTCATAGCAGCTGCTCATGTCTTTAGAACATAAAAAGTCCATTTTAGAAAAGTCTCTCCATATGTCCAATGCATATCTCCAAGGAGCAAGAAATTTCAGTATTGAAGCATCATTGTTTTACTTTACCAGAAATAAAGAAGGAGGAACATAGTTACTATATCAACTCTTTTCTGTTGAGAACAGACTGTTCTGTTCTAAACCCTTTGTACCTTTCAGAGACTGCCTGGATATTTTTCTGCTTGGAGCTTTTGCTTTGGTTGAGTCAGCTTTTCTGACTGTGTCCCTATCTGTAGCTTAACAAGAACACCAGTTGCAGAAGATGATGACACTCCAATCTACATATACTCAAAAGGCACATATATCCCTGGGATACGTTTTTCACTGTGCAGTTGTGGATGCCCCCTCCCTGGAAGTGTTCAAGGCCAGGCTGGATGAGGCTTTGAGCAACCTGGTCTAGTGGAAGGAGTCCCTGGTGATGGTAGGGGGGTTGGAACTGGGTGATCTTTAAGGTCCCTTCCAACCCAAACCATGCTATGATTCTATGATCAGTGGTGGTGAAAGCTGCACTGTATTTGAGAACAATATGGAAGTTGGTTACGTTTGTTGACAGAGTCAGGTGGCTGAAACAGTCAAAAGCCTCATTCAAAACACAGGAACATGCTGTCCCAAAATAAATGTACATACGAACAGAGAAGCTTAATTTGAATTTTGTTTTGTGAGGTTGGTTTGTTGGTAAAAGAGAGGTAGATTTTAAAAACAGTAGGAGACAAGAAGACTAATGTAAGAATAGTGATAGCAGACAAAAAAATGAAAGAAGATATTTTAGACCCAGTACTATGCGTAAAGGACTAGAGTCTTTGAGAAAAAAAAAAAAATCTGCTGGTGTTTAGATTCTTGCTGCAGTGGAGGGACAGGGTTTCTACAGACTTTCTAAATAAACAGGGTCGCTCCTCAAAAATACCTTCTTCTGTCATCAGTTTCTCATCTAAACTGGAACACCTGCAAGAACTCACGTTCTGGCTAAACGCTTATATCTAAAAGATAGGGCAGGGAGCAGGAACCATCAGCCATAGATCTACATTAAAGAGACCCATGAATGGCTTAACTTCTGCTGGTGTAAAACATCAAGATATAACACAAAATGAGGTTTAAATAATATTTTGTATTTTCATGCAGCTTGTTCTACAGCATATGATAATTTCATGTTTTTATAGTCTTGATGCAACCTCTCAGTGTTGTATCTCGCTTCTGGGCCATGGTTGGCTGCTTTTAGAAATTGTTCTCCTTCCTAAGCAGAGTATTATGATTTTATGTGACAGATATACATTCAGGGAACATGAACATCCTAAGCTAAGAGAAAATCTAAATCCATGAGTGCACTAAATTAATGCATGTCAATATACTATCAGATTTGAAGTATTTGATTGTGGGTTATGTTTGCTCTTCTTGTTGTTCTGTAATATCACCGAGGGTGCATTTACAGGAATCTTTCTTGTAACGTAGGAGTGGCAGAACTCCCTGGCAAAAGCCAGCTGAGAATGTGGAAGTGATTTAAGGCAAATCTGCACAGCTTCTATAAGGAGATAACAAGTTCTGTTCTTCCTATGGACTACCTGGTGTCAGTCCCTCTCTTTTGTGACTGCCAGGACTCTTAGATATCCTTTGCTTCCTAGAAGGTGGATCAACACTGAATGCTTTCTAAATTGGTTTCAGCCTTTGATTACCAGTTCCTTTTAGAAACCAAACGATTTCAGGAGCCCAACCTACTTATTTTGCTTAATACTTTAGGGTGTAAATCACTTGTGAGAATAAAATCACTTAGATGTGTAAAATTTTTTTGTGCCAGAAGCCAGGGGACTTTATTTTCTGTACTGGCACTCGCACACATACATCCTTGCACCTGCCTCAGGTTGTATGCCTCTGGAGGGAAGAGGAGCTGTATTCTTTTTTCTGTCTACCTATATTCAGGTACAGCTCCCCTCCTCAGATCACCTTTGCTCATTAGAGGTGAGGATAATTTCTCTGTCAATTTAATATTTTTGTATGTGAAAATATAAGCTTTTCCCCTCTTTCTAAAACTGCTTGAATTGCAAAGACCTCTGAGTTTCATCTCTTTAACAGAATTTAATCCCTATTCTTCTAATCTCTGCAGGTTTTGGTTTCAGATCATTGCTTCATGGGAAGAAGGATCTGATGCCATTATTGCTTTTGACAATGTCTCCCTTAGTCTGGACTGTTATTTAACAAGTAAGTTTTCACTTTATCTGCAAGTGACTTGGCTTTTATTTACCATATAATTGAAATTTGGAAAGAGGATGGGTGTTGTTATCTTGAAAAGACTCTTGAAGTGTAAAGGTATGTTTCAGAAATAACTGTGCTTAGATGGAGGAGACCGTTTCAGGTGCGTATCTTATTAGTGGAGCCAACCAGTGAATGGGTTCCAAGTTTGGCAGTAAATGGGTAGTAAAACATATGGTGTGGGAGAGTCAGCTTCCAGCTGAGACAGTAGCATCACCTATCCACCCAGGCTGATGCAGAAGCCAGTCTATGATTATAGAGTTCCACATGACCTGGTTAGCTGCGTGACAATTATGAAAATGAATGACAGTTGGACTCTGGCTAGGGAAAGTCTGTGATTGACACTAACTTTGCAGTAACAGTGGACACAATACTCCAGTTAAATTAGAACAAAGTTATTTTATTTGGGCTGACATGCATTTAAGTCTGAATCACAAACTCGGATCTTCACTCTCTCCTACTCTTGGGAAAAATTTGGATTCTGATCCAGACTTTGTGATTGACTGGCCTCTAGAATATGCCCAGTCTATACCTTTGCTGCCAGATTTCAGCCCATTTAGATTTTTATTGAACATTTGTTTCTGGCTCGTCTTTCACTATTTCATGCATAGTGAATTGCTTAATTTGTAAATGTGTTCAATGATCTGTCGCTCTGTACTTCAGACCAACAACTTATGTGAGGATTGGAGGATTTCTACTCTGAACACATGAAGCTTCAACCTTGAGTTAAGCAGTAGAACTTAAGTGTATTCTTTCATCTCCTAGGCTTGAAGCTACAACCTCTGTAGCCTGTTCAGATTGAAAGCCTCTAAGCCACTTCCTCATCCAACAGCAGTCAGAATGTTTCATCTGCTTTGTTATGTTAATTTGCATTGGCTGGGGCCATGAGTCTTTCCATTTACACAGTGATACCCCTTGGTTTCTGTGCAAAAGTACAGATGAGACACAAATGTGTCTCAGGTTCCAGTATTCTAAAGAGGTCTTAAAATAAGGCTGTAATTAAAAAAGATTGCACATACTTTTACTGGCTAAAAGAGAAACTTCCTAACAGTTGCTAAAGCTTGTATTCTGCATTTCTGCTTTGTGTCTTCATTCACTTGCTGTTTTGCCCAGCACTCATTCCTGTTTATTTTTCTTTCATCACAGTTCCCATAACAGCAATGAGAAGTCAATCTGCCTTTTCCTTTTAATAGTGTTATAACCTGTGACTGCAGGCTCTTATTCTCAGCAGAGAAGCTGCCAACCCTTAATTTAACTTTGGTTTTGAATTACATACTGTCTCAGCCACCCTCAGCGATAAACCAATCTATGACTTCTTGTTTTTTAGTCAGTGGAGAGAAGACACCTCGAGGTACCACTCCAGACTCAAGCAATTTGCTCACCAGTAGAGGTGCCCAGAAGAAGTTTGGATGGGAACAAAAGCTTCTGGGAAATCTCCAGCTCAACACTGCCCCCATATCTGGTCCAGCAGGTAATTGTCTGGTCTGAGAAGCATTTTCAGACAGCAGAGATTTCCAACTAGTACAGATTTCCATTAGATGTGGCTAAATGCGATATGATTCCCTTATTTTTTTTTTCACCAAAGCCTTTGTTCAGAGCTTTTCCTAAGTCCCTTACAAACAAAACAAAACAAGCTTGAGAAAGCAATTACCTTTAGCTGTTAACTGTAACTTGGATTTCGATTGCAAGCTGGTGAAAGAAGGAACCAAAGGGAGCCTCTTTGTGAAACAAAAAGTGCTTTTAAACTGTAAGACGGGTTTGTTTGGTGTCCAGGTCATTTAAAAATAAGCCGGAATCAAAGCAGAGTGTCCAAGTTGACCTAGTCCAGCATGTGGTAACCTGAACACCCATTTCTAGTTAATATGGGCATGGTTTGAAATAACATAGCTTTGCTTTTTCAGTAATATTTTCCTTGCTCATTTGAAAGAGTACAGCATTAGGCTTTGTTTTAAACACATGATTTTTATTTAGTTAGAAATGTCAGTCTTATATGGTCAATGTTACTTTGTTCTCCCCTGTCCCCCAGTTCCCTTTTCCAGCTTAACTGTAGCAGTGTGGGCCAAAAAGATGCAAGATTTCCGTTCCCTCCCTCTCACATCACTGTCTCCCAACTGTTTGTTTCTTCCCTCTCCCAGGCTTGCCCACACACATTCACGATATTTGTTTTGGGCTCTGCACATGCATTTCTATTTCAATCCACTTCCTTCCCTCCTCCTTGCCAGCTTCTTTTTCTGATTTGATTCAGATAGCCACAACCTCCAGCCTACCTGGAGGAGCAGGGCTGACCATGGAAATGAGGGGTGACTACAGGAGAGATGGGCACTTGCCATAACTGCCATCCTCAGCACTGCGTGCATCTGTTTCTCCTCACTTAGGGCTAGCAAGTTATCTGCCAATTTGAAATACCACCCCTCTTAAGGTAGAGAACAGGAATGTGGTTGGTTTATGCCTCCTTTACTTTGTCAGTAAGCCCAGGGATTTGTTCCTGCTGCCTCCTTCTCTCCCACTCCTCCATCTTAGAAAGACTCCTTTGAGTGTGTTCTATTCTAGGTTATGTTTCACTTTGCTACCTGCAGTGTACTGTTGAAATACATGAACAAGTGGTGTTAGGTCTGACAGCAACAGCGGTCTGGTCAGTGTGGTCAAAAGCTCCACACAGTCTTCAAAGCCTGCCTGAAAAGCTGGATGTGTTAGCCTACTCCTTGCTGCCACAACTGGGCAGCTGCTGGTGCTGAACTCTCTTGTGAAGTGAGCTCTGGCAGCGGAGGCTGATGATACAGTCTGCAGTGTAGGCCAGGAGTTACCATTGAGTGGAGTTTATTGGTATTTTTGGTACTGAGCATCATACAGAAAAAAAAGTGCAGGAGCACTGACAGGAGTCTCAGGAGAATGAGACAGAGGGAATGAACCCATAGGAGAGGATGCTGGGCTGGGTGGACTTGTGCTTTAGCTATAAAGGTTGTGTCTAGCTCTGTTAGAGATGTTGTATGTGAGCATGGGCTGGTCACAAAGGTAAAATTTCCAAAAAGACCCTTATGTCCTCTTTGCAGATCCTTTGAAGTGTTCTCTTCAATATCTGTATCTCCATTTGCTTCCTGTAAGCGGAGTCACCTTTTACTTTTAAGTGCTTTCAGTGTTGCTCTTGGGTCAATGATCTTGTGATAGGATCCGTACACAGATGTAGATTATGGACTTCTGGCTGAATTTCCATAGCAATATCAATGCTTAGGTGGTGATATAGTTCCCTGAGGCAGCTGTACATTTCCTTTCAGGGTACCTGCTGTTTTAGTAACACAAAAATCATTAAATGTTAGGTTCAGATTGGAGAATGGCCTGCAGCTTGGATGCAAAGTTAATGTAAAGTGGGTGTGTAAGTGTTAGGCTAGAAATCTTGTGGCTGTAGGTTTCTTCAAGAATTTTATTACTTCCTAATTCTCGCTAGACCTGAAATAATGCAGCATCATCTAGCTCTTCTGCTCCCTTTCCTATCTGAGGAATGCAATTTAAATAAATGCTTGGACAGTAGAAATAATGGGAGTCAGATTGCAGGGGGGTAGAAAAGAAAGTCACCAGGGTGCTTTGAGCAGTTCAAATAGTTTGTTATGACCTTGGGTTGAAAATTCAAGGCAGTTTCTGTGGTATCTAAGCCAGCCTGCCTCATTTCTGTGCTTGATCCTTGGTCCTGTTCATGTGCTGTCTAAAATTACCTCCAGCCCTTACGGGTTGAAGTCAGTCCTACAATTTTCTCCCCTTTGTTACCTTTGCTGTAGACAGGGCAGAAATCAGAGAAGCTAAGCTGCAGCTTCTTGCGGTGGGAAGTCATTGCATTTCTGAGGGTCTCCATGGCACAAAATCACCTTTTTCCTTTGTGTTGCTGAGTCCCTTCTCTCAGTAAACACTGCAGATCTTGTTTCTTTATGCATCCTCTAATGCATTAAAGAAACCTCAGTCTGAATCTGTCAAGGCCTCTACTTTGATGGCCACGTATTTACTGTTGTGCGAGTGAACCAACAGCATCAGCACCACACTGAAATCCTGAAGACTGCATTGACCAATATGAGCTCACACAAAAGTAATTACAGCTAATGTGATCTTTGGCTTGTGTGATGGATCACAGGCTGTAATATTTCCTTAAGAAATCATATTAAAACAAAGAGCTGTGTTCCTATAGCTGAGGAGACAACGGAATTATAGAATATCTTCCCCAAGTCCCCAGGCCAGCTTGAGCCTACGCAGCAGGAAGTACCATCTGAAAGACAGGTACCACTTTGTTTACCTGACAGTAAAACCAAAGAAGCTCCATTGCTTTCAAGGGTATGGGCCTTGATTTGCTCCTTTGTAACTGAGAATAACCTCTTACATGCACCTGCTGGTTTTGCTTGTGCTTGGAAATCCATTTTCAGCAGAAGTGATAGTCATCACCACCAGCCTCCCTGTCGTCTCTGTTCTCAGGCCTTGTGCTCAGTGAATTACTTCTTCAGCCTTGCTGCCTATCTTGGCTTGGCATGCTTCCAGGATGTGCACACCAGAGGTTCAAAACACATCTCACAGCCACGCTGTGAAAGATCCTAAAGCTTCCAGAAATCTGTTAACCACTGTCATGCGTCACGCATGGGATGATGAAGGCGCTGTGGAGAGACTGAGGCCCAAAATTGCTACAACTGATGTGGTGGTGTTGTGCTCTCAAGTTTCTTGATGATAACCAGGACTGACACAGAAAAATTCCTGTAGGTTTCAAGTCACACAGTCACACAGTTGCTTGCAGTGCAAGGTGGCCATTAGACAGATGATCACCAAGTGATGTAAATGCTTTCCTTTTCAATTAATTAGTTACCCATTATTTGCTGACATGCCAGCTTCTTGCTGAAAGGTTGCAGGTGGAACTTGATTCTAAAAGAAACCTGCAAAAAAGTTGTAAGAAAACTTGTATACACCAGAAGAATGAAACAACTTCAGTGGAACTAGGATTTTTGATTGAAATGGTTATTTGTGCACTGCTTATTCTGATGTAAACCAAGCTTACTTTGGCTTCATTTTTAAATCGATTAGGCATTAGTTTAAGTAAAACTGAAAGCTGCTCAAACCATAGCATTTCTCTGCAGGGAGTTTTAACTACCAATTAAAAAGCCAATTTATATCAAACCAGTGCAATTTCCTTTTATAGACAAGGCCAGAATATGGGAAATTCAGGCATCATGGGCAATAATGAGGAACTCTAGGTAAACAAATTACTATCATGGAAACTGGAGGAGACAAAATAGGATTCTCAGTAGGCAAAAGGAGATAACAAGACACAGAGCAATCAAGCTTTAATTAAAGATTTCTGGTGCTCCTGAATAGGCTGTAAATACCATGAGGTTAGCCTCTCTCAGTGTTTCAGCTTCTCACCTGTCCTACTGACAACTTACTTGTGTCAGAGCACACAGTGCAAAAATGGTGTGTTGTGAAATGTACAAACAGATGAACCTTTTCTCCCCTCAAATCTTGCATTGTTTTGTCCCATCTGAGCTGCATATCCACCAGCCATTGTGTGACTATGGTTTTTCATGGTCATCAAAGCATTTTCTCATCCAGACTGGATTACTCTTTTCCTTCAGCTCCAGTCTCTACCTCACAACACTTAGTGGTTGCACAGATTTTGTCTTTTGCTTCAAGGAGAGTCCTCTTACAAGTACTTACATGGCTGTTTCTCGGAAGAACTCTGAGTCACATTAGTTAATCAGATGAAGGAGCTGAAAGGAACAGCGGAGCGAGTATTAAGTAAAGGGAAATTACATTTGCTTGCTCTTTGTGTGCAATTATACTAACTGAACTGTTGGCATAATGCAATAAAGGTATCTGCAGAATTGTATTTTTGTATTAAGCATCAATTAACACAGTGAATAACAGCTCAGGGCCCTTCCCCCAACAAAAGTAGCATCCTGAACAGTGATAGAAAATGTTCAGAGATGGATGGTGGGATCTCAGATTATGTAGGCATTTATTTAGTTATTGCAGTGTTTACACTTGCTTTCTCTGTAGGATTGAAAATAGCAAAAGTGCAATACTGAAAATCAACATACAACCAGATCCAAACATAGCAAATTTGAATTGGTATAAATGCTCTCCAGAGTTAATCACACAATTGAAATAAACAGGGCAATTCACACATTTTAGACCTAAATTTTAAGGCTGCTCACTCTTAAGAACAGCAGTTTAAATTGTGCAGAAACTGCCATAAATCTTTGAAATAATTTTGCTACCTCTACCCAACTTTGTTATCCAACATGCATTCCGATATCTTTTGTAACTGTGAACAAACAAATTCCAAAAAGTTAGTAGCATGTCTCACTTAACACCCTTTATGGAAGACTCCTGCTATCGCTTTAAGTGAAACATAAAAGGGAAAATAAGTTAGTTTTCTTCATGCTGCTTTGTTAGCTTCTGGTTCCAGAAGGCAGCAAGAAACAAGCCATTCTCATTGCTGTTCCA